TGCTGTTTGCTTACAGATTGCTTTTTTTTTCTTTTTTTTTTTTTTTTTTTTTTTTTTTTTTTTTTTTTTACACCTCGACCTGATTGGCTTGCAACACGAGAAGGAAGGTGTCGTCCCGGGCTTCTCCTCCTCCATGCCAAAAAAATATCCAACCCCACCTTCTGGAAACCTGACTAATTGAATTACTAAGACATCGGAGTGGTTCCTGTGCAGCCTTACTGCTAAAGGTAACCGTTTCAACGCCGGATGCTGCGACAGGATTATGCGCGGGAGCAGCGCACGGACGAGTTTCCGCCCGCCGCGAGAGAAAAGCAGTGTGCCGCGTAATTCCACCGAAACAGAGAAACTCCTTCCCCGCGTTCCCCCGCACACCGCAGCACTGCGGGAGCCGGCGGAGGGGAAGGGGCTCCGCTGCTGTGCAGACACCGCAGCCCCGACACCACTGGCGGCGGGAGCAGGCGGATGGTGGACGCTCCACCGCCAATGCATTCTCGCATGCTCCGATGCATCCTCGCATCCCCGCGGGCAGGTGAGCTGCTCCCGGGGGCGGGGCGGGGCCGGGCGGGACGGGGCCTCCCCCGGGCGCTCCCGCCACTCCTGCCCGCCGATGTTGCCGGGGTGACAGCAGCCACCAGGACTCCTGTCCCGTCGTGTCCCATCCCATGCGGAGGCCCCCTCCCTGCACTCGCTCCCTCCATCGCCGCGCCGGGATCGGCGCCGTTCGGAAGCGCCCCGACTCCCCCCAGCGGCGGCGCCCGGCGGTGCAGGGCGGGCACGTCCCGCGGGGGGCTTGGCGGTGCCGTGGCGTCGGGTTGGTTGGTTCGTTGGTTGGGTTCCTGATGGAGAATCCTTTTCTTTAGCGTGGAAAGCCGTTCCGGGTTGATCTTCACCTATTGCAGCACGCAACCTGCTCGAAATTTCTGCTCTTCTCGGAAGCGACTGAAGAGGTGGAGTTGAAAACAAACACTCAAACCGCTTGGGTTTGTTTTTTTTTTTTAATTTTTTAGAGTATGTTTTTGGTTTGGAGGGGAGTATGTTTGTTTTGTTTTGGTTTTTTTAGCAACGATTTTCAAAGCTTTACTATTAAAAGCTTAAAAAATTGTGTCCCCGTGGTCTTCCTTCAGCCTTGCTTTCAGTATGTTGGCATCTGTAGAACAGGTAGCAGGGTACAAAGTACATCAGCCAAGTACATATCCCAGGCACCATAAACCAAAGGTTTTTTTCAATTTATTTTTGTTAGAAGAATCACAGCAATTCTGATTTTTTTCCCATCTTTGGACTTAGTTCTTTTAATAGGCATGGGCACATCCAATGTTTCCTTAGTCTTTTTTCTCCAACATACACAGACATGTGGAAATCACTACCATTACAGGAAGCAGGATAAATAACACTTTTTTTCCCCCATGAAGAATCTTCTCAGCCTCATTTGTAAGAAGAGTTCATTCCCCCCCCTTTGTTCTCCTCGTGAGAAGTATCACAGGGAAAGAGTGAGAGGTCAGTTTATACAACTTAAAATACCTTTTAATAGCAGAGTCTGAGTGTAATTTAGTATATAAAATGTCCTTGCAGGACTACAATACTTGTGTTTTTCTTTGACACATACAAACTTGTGAAAAGACAACCTATTAATAATTAAAAAAGAAAAATCCTCCAGGGAAGACTTAACAACATGAAGATATACTTTATGTAGCAAGCAAGCTGTAGGTGACTGTATCTTAGTAGTTTATAAACAATACAAAGACATAAGTCCTGAGGACTCAAGATGTAAATTAATTCCTTGAGCAAAGCAACATACTGCTTTAGTGAACAGAAAGTGAGATTTTTGTTACATCATAATTCATATGAACCCATCAAATACCCAGTACCCAGGAACGTGCCACCTTCTAGCCCACTCTCCATTTTCGTGATTACATGATTAAACAATTATTGATATCATAGTTGTTAACCGCTTCTGAATCCCAATGGCCTCTGGCATTAGCCTTCATTTAGCAGAAAGATAAAGGCTGTTAGTGAGTGATACAGCATCAATGAAACTACTTTGAATACGGTGTTTATAAAAATTAGTGTGTGTGCACAGTAAGTGTCCGAAAATGCTTCTGACAAGCCTGTATAACTGCCCCTGGATCCTTGAGCCTTTAACATACATTGTACAGTATGATGCACAGAATTCCTGTGTATTGGTATGCTGTGCTGCAGTCACTATGATGATTGATCACATATCTCAAAATAATTAAACTAAGCACAGCCTCAGACTTTTTTTCCTGAGGGAAAAGTGGTGTATCTGTAGATTTTCTTTCTTTGCTGATTTCCCTTAACAAAGCACATGGCATGTGTATAATTGTTCAGCAATACTTAGTATCTTGAACAGATACAAAGGATTTGGGCTGTTAAAATGTAGGTAGTATTGTTAAAATATAATTTAAGTAATTTGCTTTGCTATTCAAAGATACTTTAGCACCTATAAAACAAAAAATAGCAAATATATCTCTACATTATTCCTATAGCTGGTTGTATGATTTTTGTCTTTTATAAATCTGAGCAGGTTGTGTGTATGATTTTTATCTTTCATAAATTTAATCAGTGCTTCAGAAGTAAAACTAACTAGTAAGGCCCAATCCAGCTTTTCCTGACATTAACTCCACTGACTTTAAAGAAGGTAAGCAAGCAAATATCATGGGCTTTTTCCTTTTGTTAAACCCCAGAGAATTAAGAATTAATTTTCCTATGTTGGAACAAATAAATGTATACTGCAAATTAGTGAAAAATGTAGTTGCATTTTAAAACTTTTTTTTTCTAAATTTTGTGGAAATGTGTGTTTTTAAATCATATGTTAACATTTCAGTAGAATTTTGTTAAAGGTAACCAGGCGAAAACCAAATGTAATCCTGTAGTTGGTCTGTGTTTAAATCATCTGTGATGTTTTGTTAAAAGGCTGTACAAAAATGCAGCTCTTTTGTTTATCAGTGGTTTCCCTGGAAATGTGTTTTTCAAGACCTGAAAGCATCACACTTTCTTAT